TGTTACGACTAAATCGACTTTTCAATTCTCTATCCAACAATGCCAAAACGAATTCTGTGGCTCGAATGGTTCTTGAGAAACTTCGAAAAAAGCAGCATCAAATTCAAGGGGATTTTGCAACTCAAAAAAAAAAAGAAACCACGCAAATCTAAAACTTCTTGAATCCAAGCCCCCCCCCCTGACTTTTTGTGCGATGATACGATGGTACGAAAGTGTTTCTATTGGTTGGAAATCTGTCAATTCGTCCGCCGTCGTACGAGACGACGGACGAATTGACAGATTTTTACACATTTGACATATTGACAGATTTTTTACATTTGGCAACGCCCCAAACTTGGTGGAATTGGGCGTGTTCTCTTCCTTAGGGCTCTTTGCTTATTTGTTTTCGTCCGAAATGTTGAGTGGATGGAAGATCCGCCCAAAACAGACGGTTTTCTTCGGTTCCTGCTCTAACTGGATAAAATCGTTCTTGATAAAATGTCAAGCGCCCAGGAGACTAAAGGAAGCGCGAAAATTTCTGTCAAACGAGTTTTCGAGAAAATTGCGAAAAACTGCTGATTTTTTGCGTTTTTGGCATTAAATCTTGTCAAACTAGCAGAAGGATTTTTTCGATTTTTACCCAAATTCTGTGGTGATTTTTTGCCAATGGCGACCTTTTTACGGGATCGCGATCTTCCGCTATCTCCGTAACGCTATTTTTAATCGAAAAAGTCCCTCTTCATGAATTGTCAGGCTCGGCGAGCTGAAGACAAATAAAACAGTTCGGGGAGTTTTTGAAAAAAGCGCAAAAGACGGGAAATTTTCTACTTTTTTAACATCAAAGCTCATCAAACCGGCAGATGGATTTTTCAGTGATTTATCAGAATTCGGCTTTTCTTTGCTTTCTCCGTGACGCGATTGTTCATTGAGAAACTCCCTCTTCATGAACTGACATACAACATGGAAAATTTCGCGAAAATAACCGATAATTTTCCGGTTGTTCGGTAAAGTTTGCAATATTGGCCTTTCGTTGTTTCCTCCCTAATCGAAAAAGGTCACTCTTGATACCATTTCAAGTCCAGTGTGGGAGTTTTCGAAGAAAGGGCGCAAAGTGGAGTTTTGCCACATCGCCCCAACAACCACCCTTGCACGGGGAATTGGCACAAAACCGGCAATTTGCGTTAGCGCAGTTAGCGTGATTGCGCCGCGATCGGTGCGTCTCTAATCGACGTGGCTGCATACAGGTGCAAACATGGAGTGACAAACCGCACTGAATATTTATAAATTCAGCGTACAAACCGATTACGAGACACAATGGGCCATATATTATTTATAAAGGCAATACGTAGCGCAAATTAAAAATTAAAAAGAATTTCAAAACATGTATAATGAGCACTAAAAGGCTGTAATGAAGTCAACAAGGATCGAATTAAAATTCCGCGCCGGCATTGCCGCAGTCCGTGGTAAGGAAATGAAGCGTTTTCTGGGCCGTTTTTGCGCCCCCGGTATGCCATAGAATTGCAAATATGCCAAAGATCGATTGGTCGCAACCATATACGTACGATCCGATTGGTCTCAGCCAGCTGAAATTGCGTTTTTTCGACTGGTAATGGTGATAAATGCGCTTTGTTTTGTTGCAGATCACTCAACTGAAAATCGACAATAATCCATTCGCCAAAGGCTTCAGAGACACTGGCGCTGGCAAGCGGGAAAAGAAGTAAGTATCTAAGTCACTATTCAGCTACTCGGCGCTCAGCTGCTCGATCAAAACCTTTTTTTTTTGGGGGGCGGCATTTAGCCATCTCATTGTCTCGATTAGAGGGTCAAAAAACTGCCTTGTAATTTTAAGGTTAGGCTTTTAACGCATTAGTGCCCTTCTGTTTAAGCTGAGGGACAATTTTATCTAACACCAGAAGGGTGGGTATTTTATAGCTTAATTTGCGGTCGCGCTCTCTACTCCGTTTACATAATAAAATGCGATCATCCGCCCGAGCAAAGGGGTCGCCGATGGAGCTTAATTTGGATCTTAGCGAATGCCAGTTTTTGCCGGTTTCAACGCGAAACTGAGCAGGATTTTTGCAGAGTGCTAAAACAAGTTGTTGGAGTGGGAGACCGCAACCCCGCGAGGATCGTTGCAAATTAGCCGCGGCATTTGCTTAAGGTCGCAAATGTTGGGGTGCAAAAGGCCAGCAGGGTTCGGCTTTAGACGCTGTTTCTCCCTTGGCTTTCGCATCCTGCTGTTTGGCTGCCTCTGCATATACATATGTGAAAATCGATAGATCTTCTCAAGCCTTGACGAGTTTATCTGCAATATCATGCGAGTGGGACGCCCATTTTTAGAGCAAATTTCATCAAGTCCCCTAGAACCATTAGCATAACATTTTCAGGGTTGGTTTGGGTTAGTTTGGGTTAGTTTCATCCAGTGTCTTCTGCAGGATGTGGAAGTTGAACGAAAGTTTCAGAGTTTTCCGGTTCCAGCATTTGCCATAGATTGGGATAATATCCAGTTGCTGCCGGCCCTCAATTAGACGCCCAGAGAAGGTGCATTTTGGATGAAAATCACCATTTCTAGCTCAATATTTAAAAAATTGGCACAAATCAGTATTGAATGCGACTAGAACGAAATTTTGCGGGTTTTTCCATTCAAATGTTCTCCATAGATGAGGG